ATGTGTTGGAATCCTAACCTCTATACCTATGGACTCCTGGTGTGGCACTGTGGGTTAATGTGCCAGACTGCAAAGTCATTTGAACTGCAAGGTTGGCGGTTCAAGCTCACCAGATGCTCTTTGGAAACCCTATGCAGAGTTGCTATGGGTCGGAACCAACGACAGCACATTTGGTTTTTTTTGTTATGTTAATGAGCTCCAGATATGACTTAAACTAATTATTTTTAAGATTCAAAAAAAACAGGTGGGACACTCAATTATGATTTGTTGCACGAATGAACACATGATGAGGAAGAGGAAAATTGCTCATAATCCCACTACTTCAGCACAATAATTATCATTTTGACAGAGTGTAGATATGCAGAAGACAGTTCAGGAACTGCTCCTACCAGTCCTGTCATGGTTCATGTGAGAGCAGACCACACCTTGGGCGAGAAGCCAGTCAGGTACATAACGTCAGGACTGGTTCCTTGGGGGCCTCCGCCCTTGCTAACTCCCTCACTGGCTCTCAGATCCTCTCTGTCTTCATCTGTCTTAGCAGCTCCCCTCTTCTGTCTGCTCCTCTAGTCCCTCACCAAAGGCAGTGGAGTTTGAGGCAGGGTGTCCAACTGGTTCAAAAGGATTCAGTCATAGTTGATAAAAACAGAGCCGCATATGCGTTGCATAGCAACCAAATCTTGCATGCCTGATTTTGACTGAGTAGGAAGCAGGCAACAAGTAAAACTCATGTGAAATTGTCCACTACAGATTAGTAAGTAAGCACAAGTAAGTCTGTGCCTACCTTGCCTATTGGGGAATCTGACACTGCTCATAGGGGGTCCATTTGCTCCCCTTAACTTTGTTAATCATCTTTACCCAAGCCTTCTATAACAAGAGTTGCTGGGTGGTCAATTTGTGTACCCACTAACTCATGTATCACTTCATCATTGGTCCCAAGCACATGCCTACAGGTATCTAACCATCATTTAATGGCAATAGAAGGTGCTAGAGGGGACCCATGAGGCAGCATGTACGGATGAAAAGTTATGTAGCATTTCAGGGGTTAACTGGTAGCACGTTGGTAGCTCTGTCAGGAGCTGGTTGTGATATGTCAAAGGCTCACGGGACAAATATGGAGAAGTGAACCCCTAGGCTGCAGGCATGAGGTAAGGCATGGAAAGTTGGATTTGCGCTGGGGCTTAATGATGAGCAACACACAGGCAGCGGCTGAGCTGGGAGAGCGTGCTTGCTCCAGGCAGAGGAGGGACCTGGGGCTGGGTCAGCAGAACCAGAAGCACGGCCTGGGACCCTCGTGATGAATGGACCCTGTCAGCATGTCTGACTAATGCTCCTTGGGCAGGTAGTGGAAGGCCAGAGCTGCCCACAAGCCAACAAATGGACAACATGCCTGGGAATACAATTCACAGCATGCAGCATACAAACAGCACACAATGTACAACAATTGTTGTACTAATGTGGGAAAAAAAGTCCTAAGTTGAGGACATATCTAAGACACGTTCCGAAAGAGGTAACTATAGACTGGGGTCGTTCATGACTGATCAGATGTGAGAGACCATTCCCAGCCTCTATACTGGGGCCCAAGGTGGCACTCCCAGGCCACAGCAGAATGAAGGTTGAAGATTCAGGACCCGCTTCCTTGGGAGGTGACTCCAGGTCACCTCTGCTTGGGTCAGCTGCAGGCTCCATCCATCTCCGGGCCACTGCCGTACTGACTTGGCCTCGGTTCACAGGGGATGAGGGCAGTAGAATAAGTTGACTTGGGCGCATGTGCCCTGCAGTCTCCCCTGTAGCTTACTGGTCCTGACAGCTGGTTCTCATACCTGGAGTAGCCCAGAGGTGGGTGGTGTCTACTTCCAACCGTGGACTAATGCTGGGGATTATGGGTCCTCTGTCCCGTTCTGCTCCAAGAATAGTTTTCCAGCCCAGCCTAAACCCTGCCTCCAGTAACAGCATGCTAGCTTCTATTAAGTGGGTGCCCACTCCTGACAACCCCCTGCACAACAGAACAAAATTCTGCCTGGTCCTGCACCCTTCTCAAGATTGCTTGGGAATTGGACTATTGTGATCCATAGGAATTTCAATGATTAATTTTCAAAGTAGATCACCAGGCTATTCTTCCTAGTCTCTCTTAGTCTGGAAGCTCTGTTGAAGCCTATTCAGCATCATAACAACACACAAGCCTCCACTGATGACAAGTGGTGTCTACATATGGGAACATTGGGTGGGAATTGAACTCAGTCCCCCACGTTGTTGTTATTGCTACGTACCGTCAAGTCTTTTCTGACTACAACGACCCTGTGTAGGGTTTCCGAGGAGTGGATGGTGAGTTTGAACCGCAGACCTTGAGGTCAGTTTGAAATCTTTGACAGTGCCACACCAGGCCTCCTAACAATGTTGTTAGGTACTATCAAGTCCGTTTCAACTCAGAGCAGAGCTACCCTATGCTTAATAGAATCAAACACTGCCTGGTCCTGCTCTAACCTCACGATGGCTGTGTTTGAGCTCATTGCTGCTATCACTCCTTCTTATTGGGGGTCTTCCTTTTTTTGCTGACCCTCCACTTTACCAAGCATGATGACCTTCTCCAGGGACTGGTCCCTCCCGATAACATTCCCAAAGTACAAGAGACAAAGTCTCACCACCTTCTCTTCAAAGAACATACTGGCTGTACTTCTTCTAAGATAGATTTGTTTGTTCTTCTGGCAGTCCATGGTACTTTCAATATTTTTCACCAACACCATAATTCAAATGCATCAATCCTCCTGTGGTCTTCCTTATTCATTGTCCAACTTGCACATACAAATACCATGCCTTGGGTCGGGTACACCTTAGTTCACAAACTAACATCTTTGCTCTTCAACACTTTAAAGAGGTCTTGTGCAACAGATTTGCCCAATGCAATACATTGCTTGATTTCTTGACTGCTGCTTCCATCTTCCATGAGTGTTCATCATGGATCCAAGCAAAATGAAGTCTTTGACAGCTTAAGTCTTTTCTCCGTCTATCATGATGTTATTTATTGTTTCCGTTGTGATACTTTTGTTTTCTTTAGATTGAAGTGCAAGTCCTCTTTGCTTTTAGCAAGCAAGGTTATGTCATCTGCATATTGCAGGTTGTTAATGAGTCTTCCTCCAATCCTAATAGATTGGACATTTGTCATATAATTGTTCATCATATAACCCACGTGGAAGGTGAGAATTTCCCCCTGAACCACCACTACCCTGCATAAAGAGTGCTCAGGAAATGTTTGCTGATGGAATTCCCATCCCCTGTGTTATACTTCTGCCATATGGTGACACTGTGCACAGCAGAACAAATGCTGCCAAGCCCTCCATCATTCCCAAGGTTGCTTTTGAATTGGACTACTGTGATCCATGGGGTGTATAGAAAACGAAAATCCTCACCACTGGACCAATGAATAACATCATGAGAAACTAAGAAAAGATTGAAAATACCATAGCTTGTCTCAGTTGCACCTTAGTCCTCAAAATGACATCGTTTAACATAAAGGAGAATCTTTTACGGCAGATTTTCCACCTGTGCAATACTGCATTTGATCTCTTGACTGGTGTAAAAGATTCTCCTTTATGTTAAACGATGTCATTTTGAGGACTAAGGTGCAACTGAGACAAGCTATGGTATTTTCAATCACCTCATATGGACAATGAATAGGAAAGACTGTAGAAGAATTGATGCATTTGAATTATGCTGTTGGTGAAGAATATTGAAAGTACCATGGACTGCCAAAGGAACCAACAAATCTTTCTCAGAAGCAGTACAGCCAGAATGCTCTTTAGGAGTGAGGATGGTAAGATGTCGTCTCCCATACTTTTCTCAGTCCCTGGAGAAGAACATCATGCTTGGTAAAGTAGAGCGTTAGTGAAAAAAAGGAAGACCCTTAATGAGATATATAGACACAATGGGCTCAAACCTAACAGCAATTGTGAGGATGGAGTAGGACCAGCAGATTCTGTTGTCAAAGGATACAGTCCTGGCACACACCTTTCCTGATTTTAAAACATTTAATGTTTCCTTGTTCAGTTCGAACAACTGCTTCTTGGTCTTTGTACAGATTCCTCATGAGCACAATTAAGTGCTCTAGAATACTTATTCTCATCTATTATGAGGGGGATATTGTCATTCTCAAGGAGTTGTCCTTCCATTCCTGGACATGGAAACAAAGAAGCCTTGAAGAGTTTTGTGTCTAGTTTGGAAGAGAGGGATGTAGGTAGAGGATGAAGGAACGAAGGTTAGAACCTTTGACTGCTCTTGCCCTTCCCCTACCTCAGAAACCTGGAGCCTATGCAAACCTGAAACGCAAACCTGAGATACTGACTCAGTAAGAGTAGAGGCCCATTTGCATAATATGTGCGGGTGATGCAGATATGGCAATTTGACGGTAATAAGAGCCACCCTTGTTTCTGGGGACACATCCCTCCTCTATCTCTCCTTCCAATGACTCCAGCCTGGGCTCCGGCACTTAACTGTCAGATTTACAATCATCCTCATACCACCTGCTGGGTACCTGTGCTACCTAAGCAGGAGGAATGTAAAGACAAAGGTTATAAGCCCCTGTGGCTTGCAGGTAGGTGAGTATTTGGAGATGACCAACCAAAGATAAACCCATGGGCATCCCTAATTTGAATAGAGAGCTCCACAACCTAGGCTCATCTTATTGTGCCTACTAGGATGACCTATTTTCTAGATACAAACAGCTAGAATTACCTGTTCTAAACATCTGGCATTACCTGCCTGCTTAGTCACCTTCCTTCTGGCTTCAAACAGCTGTAGGGCCCCACCTCCTCCCGCCTCCTATCCATCTGGGGTCCCTCCCTCCCCTTCTCCTTCCTGAAAGGATCTGGAGGTACCAGATCCACAGCCCTGATGTCTTTAAAAGGATCCGCCTGTGAATAAGACACATTTGAGAGCTGTGGCATCCATCCACCTTGACTCCAGCCAAAGTCCAACAGCCAATCCCCTTTGGCCTCCAGCTGAGCACCATGAGGGTCTGTGTCCCCCTGATAGTGGCCATGCTCTGTGGCTTGGCCTGGGCTGGTAAGTCACTGTTTGGTGGGGCTGGGAGAAATGATGGTAGGGGCTTGCATCTATATCAGTGTGGTAAGGTGAGGTGTCAGTTCTGCCCTAAAATGATGGGGCACTGTGGACCTGTCCTTGTCTGAGGTGCAGAGTTGTTTCCTGTATGGACTGTACTGTGTGAAGGAGTTCCAGGGCTGATGGACTAATTTCATGGAAGCCCCTTCTTGACACCTTGGAGGACCATCCCAGCCATTCCTTAGTCCAAACTGACTTTTGGTCTAGCCCAGGTTTGTTTTCCTGGGCTAGTTCGTGGCACGAAGCTGGCTTTGAGTGGTCCAGTTGCATTTAGTCACTCTCTGCACTGCCTGGTGATGGTGAGGTCGTCTGAGGTGGTGAGCTTTCTCTGGGTAATGCCTTAGGAGATGGGCAGGCTCACAGGAAACCAGAAGGGTCCCTGGCAGGGTGGTGGGCAACATCCTATCTGGGGCTGTACAAATGGTCAGAAGACTTGGTCTTTGTCTTAGTGTTAGGTCAACTAAGTAATTGAGAAGGGACCTCGCTCACAATTACTGGCAGGACAGGGGATGGGACCAGCAGAAGAAGATTCACTTTCCTGTTCAGTGATTGTGCAGACTGTTGATACTAATGCATTAATTGGTGGCTAACAGGTAGGTGGCAATGAGTGACACGAGGAAGGGCTGAGATCAGGTGTATGTGAAGAATCCTCTTCTACCCCAGAGGAGAAAGGGTCAGAACCTGATGCTCATTCCAGGTTGTTCTTCCATAGGGGCTACTGAGAAGATTAAATAAGATAATGCATGAGGAAGACCCAGCATGGAGTGAGAGCTCACTGAATTGGAGCTTTGATTAGAATTGTGATTATTAATAGTTCTGGAAGAAACTTGGGGTCATTTCCAATCAGGTTGTGGATAAGGAGATTCGTGGTGCAAATGGCTTGATCTCAGCTACTAACTGAAAAGTTGGTAGTTCAAATCCACTGAAAGCACCATGAAAGAAAGGCCGGGTAACATGCTTCCAAAAGTAATACAGCCACAAAACCCCTATGAGTTCACATATGGGGTTGCCATGAGTAGGAATTGACTCAGTGGCTAGGGGTTTAGGTTTTTTTTTTTATGGTTAATGGGATTCCTAAATGAAAATCCCATTCCCGGGTCTCCCAACACTGAATGGTCTGGTGTACCTCCTCCCCAGTACCCACAGCATGAATAACCAGCTCTGCCCAGGCTCTGGGTAGTCAGGGCATAAGTGTGGTCACAGGACACTGGTCTAGAGCTTGTGTGGTGGAGAGAAGAAAAGCATGCCAGGGCTTAGTGTGAAGAAGATGCAGGTGGGTCAGCACATCCCAGCCTCAGGAGAGAGTGCAACCGGTGACTTCTGGTCCCTGGAGCCATCTTAAGAGCAAAGGCAGCAACCATATCACAAGTGCAGCTGGACTCCTTGCTGCTGAGGATTGAGAACAGCCATGAGCTATGGGACTTCAGGGAAGTGAGGGTTAAGTGGGTGAGGCTGCCTTCTTTCCTAAGGTGGGAGAGAACTGGAATGTAAACACATGAACCTTATTGGGAAGGAATTGCCAGCCTTAGTTCCTCATTTATACTAACGGCCTTGTTTCAAATTGGACTGAGGCAGGAAGCTGGTCCTGGAGATGAGTATTTTTGGTTAACTAGTTCTCTGTGGGTTCATGTGATGGACTGCAAAATCGGTTTGAACCTCAAGGTCCGTAGTTCAAGCTCATCAACTGCTTCTGGGAAACCTTATACGGGGGTCACTATGGGTCAGAAATGACTCAACAGCACTTAACAACAACAACAACAAGTTCTCTATGGAAATGAAATCTGGGACCCCCAAATGGCCCAGATGTAGGAGGCCCAAACCTTTAGAAGGGCTGTCAGGTTGGCATACAGGGACACTGTAACCACCCAGGCTTGGGACTAGGCTCTCTTGGGATAGATAGGCATGGATAAGGTACAGACATTCTGGAATGTGGGTGTCTTATAGGGTGCAACGAGATTTAGCACTTCAAGGGAGGCCCTTAAGCTCTTCATGGGAGAAGGGAGGGAGACTCTGAGACCAAAACAGGATAGGCCAAAATGAAGAACGGCAGAGAGTCAGAGAGATGAGACACAGGGGTAGGAACAAAGGGCAGCTGGAGCTGTGATACGGCAGCATCTGACTTGATGAGCCAGGTGTGGACAGAGCAGTTTGTGGGATGGGGAGGGGCCAGAGGGAGGAGTCCTTTCCACCCCTACCCTCTGTCTTCAACTCTCAAGGTTGTCTTGAAGCTGACCAAGTTCACACAGAAATGTGCAGAACCCCTGGCATGAGGCTCTTACTGGGGTCAGAGTTCTTGAAGAGAGATGAAAAAGTCTACTCAGTTTGGGCCAGTGGGGGGTAGTCTCCACCCTTCAGAACTGACTATTCACTTACCGCCCTTCTCAACTGCTGCCAGTTGCTGGAATGGAGTGAATTGGTTCCTTGGACTCGTTGATCTGGCCCATTAGAAACGTTGACCTGATTTGTCTGGATCCTCTCCCTTTGGATTCTGGGTGTACTGCCAGGCTGACCAAGTCGGTTGCAGAAATAGTCTCTTTAAGATCTTTGCATTCCCAAAGGGAGCATCATTTTAAGACTCAAGAGGGTTTCCTGTGGGCTGAGGAGACAAATGGCCTTGAGTTTCGTCTTTTTAAGGGACAATCCACTGGATCAGAAGGTCCCTGGGTGGCACAAACAGTTTGTGCTCCTGGTGTGTCACTGTAGATAAACACTGGACTGCTAATTGTAACGTCAGTAGTTCAAACCCACCAGCGGCTCCTCCAAAACCCTATACAGGGTCTCTATGAGTTGAAACTGGCTCGATGGCACTTAGCAACAACAATAACACTGGTTCAAACCCAGCAGTGGTGTCCCAGAAGAAAGCCCTTGTGATCTGCTTTGGTTAAGATTACAGTGAACAAAACCCAAAGCAACAGTAACAATTGGAGTTGTCATGAATGGGGATCAACTCAATGGCATTGTTTACCCCCTGCCCAACCCCACTGGATCAGAGGCCTGCCAGCATGGAGTCTCTGTACACAAGGCAAAGTTGCCTCAGGACCTGGTTAACCTTGACCTCACACCTTTGATGTAAAGAACACAGGCCCATCATGATGACATCAGTCAGCAGAGTGTTGGCAGTAGCATAAATGTGTTGACACCTAGCCTAAGGGATGGCCCTACTGAAACCAGCGAGTGAGTCAGCTAGATGAAGTGGATCAGAGGGCCACTCACAGGCTGGACTGCTCCACCTGGGCTGGACACTTAACACCTCACAGGCAACATGGACTACGGCCACTATTTATTTATCTAACAAATACTTGTATGACACCACTGTGTGTCACACACAAGCTAAAGTGCTTCACAAATATTGACTTGTTGAAAATGCTTTTTATTGTGTTTTAGGCGAAACTTTACATAGCAAATTAGGTTCCTTTTTCACCATTTTTATACAAATTGATCCAAGACATTGGTCATATTTTTCACAATGTGTCCACATTCTCATTATTTCCATTCTGTTTGTTCTGTTTTCATAAATCTAGTTTCCCTCCCCCTCCTTAGCTTCTCATCTTTGGTTTATATCTGATTGTTTAAGGAGCACAGTATGTACATATTATTGGCTCATTAAATCCTCATAAACCTTCTATGAGATGAGTTCCATTGTTACTCCATTTTACAGGTAAGGAAACTGAGGCAAGAAGGTCAAGGAACTTGCCCAAGATCGTATAGCTAGAAAGCAACAGAACTAGAATCCCAAACCCAAGTGATTTGGTGACAAAGTCCAGCTTTTTAACCTTTCTGCTAAACCATTCTTCATTATAATTCCTAATCCCAGGGTCCAGACCAGCAACTAAACCCAAACTCCTAATATCCACCTCTAGTCCAATCTCTGGTAGCGTAGTGGTTACGAATCGGGCTGCGAACCTTAAGGTCAGTGGTTCAAAACTACCAGCCGCTCCACTGGAGAAAGATGAGGCTTTCTACTCCCGTAAAGATTTATACCCTTGGAAACCCTGTACAGGGTTGCCATGGGTCGGAACCGACTCGAAGGCACTTAACAACAGTCCAATCTAAGTTTACATTGAGATTCTATGCTGTTGTAGCTGGGTAACACTGAGTTGGTTCCGACTCACAGTGACCCAATGTATAACAGAACAAAACTCTACTCCATCCTGTGCCATCCTTACAATCATTCCTGTGTTGGATCCTGTGTCAAATCACAACGAGAACCAAACTCCAAATGTAATCCAAAGCAACATAGAGATTAGTCCTGCTCTTTTAATCCTGACACATTTCTCAAGCCTTAATGTCACCTTAAATTTAGCTCTATCCCTTACATTCAGACCAAATTCTTACATACCAAAAATATAACTCAAACCCAATTCTTAACTGTATCGCTTAATCTAAACCTACCTAACCCCAACCCTGCTTCAAATTAGGATTCAGTTTCCTTATTGATACAAGTTCTAATGCTAATGGTAACTTTGTCTCTGATCTCAACATTCTCTAGAGCCCACAGCCTGACCCCTAAACCCAGCTTTAGCCAAATCCAAACCTCAGGAACCTCAAATGGAAACAAAGACTCTATTATCACCCTTAAAGCCTGGTGTGGAAGGAAATGGCCCCCAGGCTTAACTGTCACCCAGGCTGGACCTGGCACTCCCTTCAGTTTTCTTTGCTGTGGTGGCCCTGTGGGGCTGACACCCCCCCTCCCCCCCAACTCAGTTAGAGAGAGAGAGACGGGGAGCTTATGTTTTCAGGAATGGTAGTGGGTTCATAGGATTCCCTTAAGAAATGTCTTGTCTTACACCCCTTGTGACCAAAAGCTTGCTTCTGCAAACCATTTGGCTTCAGTCAGGGATGTGGTCTGTGGTTATATAACAGAATCTTATTCCAAAACCCAGTTCTCACCCACACCCACCTCCTTCCCCACCCTGAGCATAAACGAATTGAAATGCATTCCAAAGACTGGAAGGAACAGAAAGATGTGACACAGGGGAAAAGAGGGTGCAGAGGAGACAGGATGAAGGGGAGGGAAGAACAAGGACGCTCAACACATAAAAAGGGACAGAGTGGGATGAGAAGGAGGGGTGGGTCCGTGGGGAGAAGCCAGGGCAACACTGCCGTGACTCACCTTCATTAAAACTACAGGTGCCCTGTCCAGCCGACCTCTTTCTTTATGTAGGAGTTTTTTAAATCTTGGGAAATGTCACACAAAAATTGAGGCGTTTTCTTGGAAAACTGGAAGGTTTGGCATGGTCACAGAGTGGAGTCTTAGCTGCCAGTTGCAGACAGCGCATTTGCTCTCAAAGTTGCCTGAGTCCCACTTCCTCCTACTGTCTTCCGACTGCCTTGCTTCTCTACTTGTTTATGTTACCTTCTAGCCCTAACAGAGGAGCTCTGGTAACATAATGCGTTAGGAGATGGGTTGCCAACCACAAGCTTAGCAGTTCGAATCTATCAGCGATTCCGCAGGAGAAAGATGAGGCTTTCTACTCCTGTAAAGACTTACAGCCTCGGAAACCCTGTACGGGGTCACTATGGGTCAGAAATAAGTCAACAGCACATAACCAAAACCACCAGCCTCAACAGGCATTGGAGTTCGTGATCCTGTTTTATAGTACCCAGTTGTTGTCGAGTCAGTTCTGATTCATAGCGGCCCTGTGTGTCAGCAGAGCGCTAACTGCTCTCCATAAGGTTTCAGTGGTTGTTTTTTCTGAATAGACCACCAGGCCTTACTTCCGAGGTACTGCTGGTGGATGTGAACCAACAACCTATCGGTTAGCAGCCAAGATTAGTTTTCACCAACCAGGGACTCCTGCTCTACATTAACCCAATGTTGTCAAGTTGATTCTGAATCATAGAAACCTTATGTTGTTGTTGTTAACAATCCATCAAGTTGGTTCTGACTCATAGCAACCCTGTGTAGGGTTTCTGACGAGCAACTAACTGGTGAGTTTGAAATGACAACCTTGTGGTTCAAACTGACCTTGAAATCTAGTGTTTTATCTCACAGTAGCATATCAGGATTCCATAGAGCCCTTATGTTGTTGTTGTTAAGTGCCATCGAGTCGGTTCCGACTCATAGCAACCCTGTACAGAGTTTCTGAGGAGCAGCCGGTGAGCTTGAACTGCTTACCTTGAGGTTGAAAGTGACGTTGTAGTTGAGCGCATTAACCCAGGACTCCATAAGGCCTTATGTTGTTGTGAAGTGCCGTTGAGTCGATTCTGGCCCAGAGTGACACTGTATAGCATTTCTGAGGAGCAGCTGGTGAGCTTGAACTGCCGATCTTACAGTTCAAACAGCATTAACCCACAGCACCACACCAGGACTCTAGTACCCAGCAAAATGGCCCCACAGGCTCTCCAAGGCTGTTTACAGATGCAGACTGCCACAGCTTCCTCCTGAGGAGCAGCTGGTGGGTTTGAACAACTGATCTTGTGGTTATCAGTCCAGTGCTTATCCACACCAGGACTCCTATTCTACACTGTTGGTGTTGTTAAGTGCTGTCGAGTTGGTTCTGATTCATAATAACCCTGTATAGGGTTTCCCAGAGTTGCTTTTGGGTTTGAGCAGTCCAGTGTTTATCCTACAGCTCCACACCAGTGCTCTATATTGGTTGCCCTGACATACTTGGTTGATGGTGGGTCATGGGGAGGAGACTTATGTGGTGTGTGGGTGGCTGTGGATGTTTCTGCCATGTGGGGTCTTTGCCCCATCAGTGAAGGTTCTTGCAGAAGGCACCCTTACAAGAATAGGGTCTCCACAGTGCTAAGTTTGTGACCTTGACTGCCCATAGGAACAACGGAGTCATGTGCATCTCGCTGTGATGAGAACTTTGACCGGGACGCTGCCTGCCAGTGTGACCGCCGGTGTCCCCGGCACGGAGACTGCTGTGAGGACTACGAGCACCTGTGTGCTGGTGAGCATCCTGTGGGATGAAGGGTCTGGGAGGGACATGCAGCCTGCATGAAGGGCCACTGATTTGGGTTCAGAGCTGATGGGACAGGGATCTAAGGTTCTAAGGGTATTTCAGAAGGAGCACACTGAGGGACAGAAACCAGAGTCAGGGATTTAGCCACCGCTTGCCCCAGATTTTCTAGGATGTCCCTAATTTAAAACCTGGATTTAAAATACAATAGAAGGAGTATCTGTCTGAACAATTGGGATTAAGGATATGGTGAAAGTTTAAGTAATTCCCCAAAAGTAAAATGCTCAAAAGATACATCAGCACACGTACTTGATGATCAATTGTTCTTTAACACTTTCAATCATAAAAACATAAAAATGGCAGGGAGCTGTTACAACTTGCCTTCACCTGGAACACTGCTGAGGCACCACTGACCATCTCGGTTTTCACGGTTCTTTCTATAGTGAATGGACCAAACTGCCAGACATCCAAGCAGTCATTCCCAGCCCAGCAAGCAAAATGAAACTTTCACTCCTTCAAAAGCCCAGTGTTCAACCACTCTGAGGGCATGAATTTAAAATAGATGCTTTAAAAAAAATTGTTTTTTTTTTTGATAATCTCATTTGGAAGCCTCCAATGTTTTAGACACTCAGAAAAACAGAAATCATCGTCTTCTGCACTTTAGTACAAAGTCTTACAGAAATTACTGACGAACCATTGAATCCCTGGTTGATAATGACCAGCAAGATGACCACATGTGGTTGTGCAGCTTGTGTGCACTACAACAAGGGAAACCTGACCAAGAAGACAAGAAATATCCAGCCAGTCTGTCTTGCCAGACCTTGGGACCTGGTACAGACCTGTGCCTACAGAGAGAAAGGGGTGCCTTGCCTTCATTTGCCCAAAGATGCAAGCTGCTGACTCAGCTCTGTACCCACAGAGCTGCTTCCACCCAAAGGGAACCTTCTAATTAACACAAAAGCACTGTGTAAACTAGCAGAGACCCAGATGAACAGGTCCACACCAAAAATGACAAGCTACCCTCTTCTGATGCTCCTCTGCCCCTACCTTTTCTTTCCATTCAGCAGACACAGGAAGGCCTGTTCACCTTGGGCCATCAGTCTGGCATTTTAAAGATAGAAAAAAGATGCAGCTTAGTAGCCATTTCATCTTTAAGTCTCTGGTTTGCAACTCAGAACCCTTTTCCCATGGTGGGGGGCAGGGTACAGGGGTGTATGGCTGAGATTCCATAGTAGCTGACAAAAGTCTACTGAGCACAACACCGTGGCTGAATTAAGAACCTTGTGGATTCCAGCATTCAAGAGACCAGGAGGTGTTTGTTGACTGAATGGATAACTCACCCATGGTTTGAATAGTAATTCAACACTGTTGTTAGTTGTTGTGGAATTGTCCCCCAACTAGGACATCGGACCATCATGAGCTATAGGGTTTTCACTGGCTGATTTTTAGAAGTAGATTGCCAGACTTTTCTTCCTACTCTGTATTAGTCTGGAAATTCCTCTGAAACCTATCCAGCATCGTAGCAACATACAAGATACCAATGATAGACAAGTGGTGTCCACTTTGTAGCCACTGTCAAGTGTGGCAGACAAAGAAGAGAAGTTGGCATCTTAGGAAACAGTTCTTAGTCCTTGAGACTCTGGGAGTTTGCCCTTGACTCTGACTAGGAGTAATTATATATTTGGGACTTTCCTAAGTGAGGGAGGGAAATTTTGGCGGGTCAGACAGTGTCAAGACTAATTCACTGTCAAGTCTAGAATACCAGTTGCTGTTGAGTTAGACTCATGGCAACCCCATATGCTTCAAAGTAGAATTGCACATAGGAGTTTCAGTGGTTCCTGGTGGCACTGTAGGATAAGCACTGGACTGCTAACTGCAAGGTCAGCGGTTCAAACCCACCATACCAGTTGTCCCTTGGAAACCCTATACAGGATCACTATGAGTTGGAAACAACTCGACGGCACTTAGCAATAACATGATTACCAGGCCTGTCTTCTAGAGCACCTTTGGGTGGATTTGAACTACCAACTGTTAGATTAGTAGCTGAGTTAGGTTAGTAGCTGAGTGCTTGCTTAACTATTTGCATCACTCAGGGATTCCTAGTTAAAGGGTCATTGTTGTTAAGTGTTGTCCGGTTGGTTCAGACTCATAGGATTTCTGAGGAGTGGCTGATGAGTTTGAACCACTGACCTTGTGGTTCAAACTGACCTTTCGGTTCAGTGCCTATCTGACAGCACCACACCAGGATTGTTGTTGTTGTTAAGTACCGACTCATAGTGACCCTGCATGGGGTTTCTGAGGCTGCAAATCTTTATGGGAGCAGAAAGCCTCATCTTTCTCCCGTGGAACAGCTGGTAGTTTTTAACTGCTGACCTTGCAGTTCGCAGCCCGATTCGTAACCAGAGTAGCGTAGTGGTTATGAATCGGGCTGCGAACCTTAAGGTCAGTGGTTCGAAACTACCAGCTGCTCCGCGGGAGAAAGATTAGGCTTTCTACTCCCGTAAAGATTTACACCCTTGGAAACCCTGTACAGGGTCGCTATGGGTCGGAACCGACTCGAAGGCACTTAACAACAATGCTACCAGTGGTAACCAAAAGGAGAATTTTCCATTCAGAAGGTTCCACCCTGTTACTCCCACCTACCCACATTTTACATTTCAGAAGGAGCATCCGAGTAGGAAAGTGGTTGGATTTGTCACCTGGCAAAATTCTTTCATTTTTTTTAGTAACAGTTTCCCATCATTTGACCTCTTTTGTATTCCATTTTCAGCTTTCACCCTCCTTTCCTTGGTACTGATGCATTGTGCCCCAGCGCCTGTTTTTACTGACTTCCAGTGTACCTGCTTGTCCCTGACAGTTGGGGTGCTGAAAACCAGAGTAAAGGGGGAGGAGAACCTTTGGGACTGGTTATTGAGTTTATTTTTCTGACCTACAGGTGAGGAGGACCCCAAAGATTCAAATACATTCCTAGATCTGGAAGAGGAGAGTGAGGAGACCCCAGCAAGCAGTGAGTCTGCCTCCCAATGGGGGCTTCTGGCTAAATCAGGAGGGATATGAAGGGGTGACAAGGACAGGACAGCCAGATGGACCTCAAGGAAAGAGCTGGGGGTGGGGAGAGGGGCTCTTTACACTATAAGGCCTGGCTGGAGGGAAAGGGGAACCCAAGAGCTCCCCATTCTGGGAGTAGCCAGAGAAGACCATCTGAGGCCTGAGGAGAGGCCAGGGGAGGAAGTGGAAGAGATTTTATTTTTAGAGTGGGGAGATTATAAAAACAACAGGCCAGAAAGTAAAGTTCAGCATCGGAAAGGACTTCCTGCCTGTGAAGGGTATGCAGGGACTAAGTTTGTTTGTTGTCCTTCCCAGGAGATGGTTAGTAGGAAGTGACAAGAGCGAGGCTGAAGGGGGGTACCTGCAGGATATTGAGAACCACCTCTAGAGGTCTGCCTGAGTCACACAAATCCTCTGTTCCCTCAGACCTGTACTCAGCACCCAACTCCTGCCGAGGCCGCTGCCATGAAGCCATTGACAGGCACCATCCATGCCACTGTGATGCCCGCTGCCAGGAGTTTGAGAACTGCTGTGAAGATTTCGAGATGCTGTGTGGCAATGGTCAGTCCCTGCTTCTATAGGACAGCCCCAAGAGATATGAGACAGAGGGGCTCACGAGAGCAGTGGCCCTCAAGAAAATCACCTCCCGGTAGCAGCACCAGCTCACCTGAGAATTTATTAGGAATACAAACTCTAGCCTTCACCCCAGACCCATAGAATCAGAGATGCCAGGATGGGGTTCAGCAATCTGTTTTTAACAAGTCCCCCAGGAGATTCTGATGCAAGCCAAGGTTTGAGAACCGTCCTGGAGGGGAGGAATAATGTGAACAATTTATGGACATTCCTTGACAATACTATGTAGTGTTTTTTAAAGTCCTTTAGACAATAGTGCCCTGACCTCCATCTGACTGTGGTCCCTCTTCCATATGACCCTGGCCCCAGTGCCACTTTCTCGAAGGTTCCCAGGAAAGGATGTACACAGACAGCTAGACCACCCCAGTCTTCCTTCCAGCTTTGAGACCACTCTTCCCCCAATTTTCCCCAGAGGGCTTCTCCCACAGTAGTGATGCCATAACCAAGGAGGAGCTTCAGGACATCTCTGAGAGGATCTACAAGGCGGATACCAACAAAGCCCAGAAGGCAGACATAGTTCTCAATAGCCAAAACTGCATCCCCCCCTCTGAGACCGGAGACCAGGTGGATCGCTGTCCAGAGCCGTGAGTTCCCCTCATTCCTCTTCCTGCTCCCAACAAAATCTCTCCCTCATCCTCGACTCCTTTTATGCCTCATCTCTTTCCTCCACAAACCAGGCAGAATCAAAGGGAGAGGCAAAAATAAGTCCCCAGACACAAGGAAGTCATATTGAAGGATGGAAAGGCACCCTGGTGACACAGTGGGTGAATTTAGAATTGGGCTGCTAACCTAAAGAGGGACACTTCCTACCCACTAGTTTATCCTGGGAGGAAGATGAGGCAGTCTGCTTCTGTTCCATGGAGCAATTCTATTCTATCCACAAGGTCACTATAAGTTGGAATTGACTCAGTGGAAGTGGGTTTGAATTTGGAGTCTGAGGGAAAACAGTTGGGAGGGTTTCTGTGATTTGCGGGCTGAAGATAGAAGTGACCTTCAAGGGATGAAATAGACGAAAAGAATGACCTCATGAGTAACCATCATGAGAATCGAAAAAATCCTCAATTTTGCTCTTGAACCCAACCCTGGTCCATCTGGAAGTTCTTGGAGGGGTTTCTGTTCCATATTCAGGCCCGTCAGGAGGCCTCCATTCATCTCCCCACAGGCTTTTCACCTATGTTAACGAGAAGCTGTTTTCCAAGCCAACTTATGCTGCCTTCATCAACCTCCTCAACAACTACCAGCGGGCCACAGGCCATGGGGAGCACTTCAGCGCCCAGCAGCTGGCTGAACAGGACACCTTCCTCAGGGAGATCATGAAGACTGCTGTCATGCAGGAACTGTACAGCTTCCTCCATCAGCAGAGTGAGTACGCTATCCCAGGTCCCAACAGGCAGCACTGAGGACTCAGGTCTGTCTACAGGAAGGTCAGGCACCTCTGGGGTCCCACTGAGCAGGTGAGGAATTGCATGGAGGGGTCAACCCTGAAAAGGTTATGGACCCAACCAGGAGCTGAAGGATCCTCTTTGAGTGACTTGGAAATCACTCCACCTTTTGACCTGATCTTAGCTGCCCCAGCTAACCCCTCCCATCTCTCTACTACTACCCTCCTGCTTCAAGTCTCAGGGTCCTCTCACCCTACCTACCCCAGGGCATTTCTCTGTCCCCTCACTGAGCCCAGTGTTAGCACCACTTGGGAAGGCAGCTTCTCTGATCTAGTCCCTTTTCCTGCACTGAGTTCAGGAAGGTGGTTGGCCGCCTCCACATGTTTGCTAGGGAAACAGCAACAGAAAATCAACAAAGGTTCAGAGAGGGACATTCTGCCGGTAAGAGCTCTGGTTGGAGTAACTCCAGACACATTCAGATCAGACCAAAAAAGGTTTTGGCCGCTGGACTTCTTGGCACAGGGTTGTGTTTGTTAGTGTCCTCCGGATTCCTTTCCCGAACTCCAGGCAGCTCGGCTGTCTCAGGGCGGCACTCTCCAGATTTTCTGTCACTGTGGTGGAGTCCACTCTGCTCAGAGCCCCTGCAGGCCTGCTTTAGAGTTGGCAACTAGGCTCTGTTTACAAGGGACACACTGGAATTCCTAGGAAGAGGATGCAATCCTGCACTGCCCCCTGGTGTCCTCTTTGGAATAAAACCAAATGAGAATCAAGGTACATAGAGTGAACTCTTCATTTTCTTTTTCCTGTGTTGTGTACCACGTTGAGAATATATATTGTTGTTGTTGTTGTTAAAGTGCCGTCGAGTCGGTTCCGACCCATAGCGACCCTGTACAGGGTTTTAGAGGCTGTAAATCTTTTCGGGAGCAGAAAGCCTCATCTTTCTCCCCCGGAGCACCTGGTAGTTTCTAACTGCTGACCTTGCGGTTCACAGGCCGATTCGTAACCATTACGCTATATAGCTTCAAAAAATTATTGTAAAATATATGTGATACAACATTTGCCACTTCAACATTTTTTCAGATGTACGATTTAGTAACCAACTATATTAATCATGTTGTAGCAACCCCCACCCATTGCCAAATGTAGTTGTTGTTGTGAAGTGTCGTTGAGTCGGTTCCGACCCATAGCGACCCTGTATCCGGTTTCCGAGGAGCAGCTGGTGAGCTTGAACTGCCGACCTTGCAGTTCAAACGGCTTTGCAGTCTGGCGCATTAACCCACAGCGCCAGACCCAAGTACCCCCATCACTATTTTCTAAACCAAAGGAGCCCTGGTAGTGTAATGAATTGAGTTGCGCTGCTAGTCACAAGGTCAGTAGTTTGAATCTACCTGTCACTCCATGGGAGAAAGATGAGGCTTTCCGCTCCCATAAAGATTTACAGCCTTGGAAACCCTATACAGGGTCGCTGAGTCTGAACCAACTTCCTAAACAGTGGCTTCCTTTCCTCCCTGTCGTCCCTGGTGCTTTGGTCTCAGTACATTTCCTCTCACTTGTCAATGACAAAATTGTAACCAGGTGAAGTGACTGGTCTGAGACCCCGGATGAGGTTGGAAGCAGAGCCAGGACAGGATCCTAGTGCTCCCACACCAATTCTAGGCTGTTCCATTATTGCACCCTCTTTTCACCACTCTCCCTGATCAATACCTCTTACATGACACCCCACCACATTTATGAAAGATGTCTCCCTCCTCAGCCATAGCTGGCTTTCAGCAGGCTCAGAGGTTGGGGTGTGGCCTTGGACCAAAGAGATTTGGTTTGACTTCTGGCTCTGCTACCTGCTATTAGTGTGACTCTGGACAAATGATTTTACCTTTCTGGGTCTTATCTGTGAAATGAGGCTTTCAGAATTAATTCATGAGAAGCACCACGCAGGAAACCTGTCACACAGTACGTGGTAACGCTCCTGTTTATAAAATCACTTATCATTATGTCATATACATGAAGGGGCTGCAAAAAGTTTGTAGAAAAATGGAATTAAAAGGTAATGGAATTTTTCCATGAATATTTTGAAGCCTCTTCATGTCTTGTTTTCTGATCATATTTTAAGCTTTTGAAAGGAGGGATTTGGTCTGATGTTTGTTTTGTACTCTTCATACGTAATTCTGGACCAAACCAAATCACTTGTAGAGTTGATTACAGCTCATGGCAGCCCACGTGTATCAGAATAGAACTGACTCCGTAGTTTTCAGCAACTAACTTTTTTTTTTTAACTTTTGATTGTGAATTGAGTAAAGGTTAACAGACAACATAATTAGTTTTGCCCTCAACCATCCACACGTTTTGCTTCATCTCAATGATCACAATCAACTGACTTTTAAGAAGTAGATGGCCAGGTCTTTCTTCCAATGCACCTCTGGGTAGATTAGCTACATTAACCATTTGCATCCGCCAGCATCCTCGGATTTTAGACTGTAGATAGTAATTATTTGAGCTCCCTGTAATGTTGGCATCAGATCTCACCACATTTCAGGAGGGATAAAGCAAATCACTATCAGCACACGGCTGATTCCTGTGAGATGGAAGTCAGACATACCTCCACTCTCCAACCTTCTTACCAGTTCTAACACCAGCCATCCCTCCCACAGCACTTTCCACTTCTCTTCTGGTTTCCGTAATCCATTGCAATGGCCACACAGCACCCATAAGCTACACTTAGTTAAGTGGCTTATTAAGGAACTAACAGGGTACAACTCAGGTTATCTATAACTCTCGATCAGGAAGCCTGTTCGTAAAGTCTCCCTTCTTCAGTCATGCCTTAGTTCCTCTCAGCCATGCAGGCCTACGCTCAGTCTCCTCTTGGCCCCCTTGTCTGTCACCACTGACTCTGTCTAAGGGCCCCTTCTGGGCCTCTTGCTGTCTTCAGTGTTACAGCCCTTGATCTCTGTTACAGTTCTTTTAGGATATTTCTTACTTCCTCTCTCTCTCTCTGCTTCTTTTCTCTTCTTTCTTCCTTCTGCTTCTCTTGCTGCTTCTTTACACCTAGAACATGTCTGAAAGCTTATATACCTAGTTGTCAATTTCAAGGCACAGTCCTCCCAGTGGCAGTGAACTAACCAATCCCTCTCAGTAGACCATAGTAAGCTTTTGCATAGTAAGCTCTGGGCACTTCATTTGCAAAGTGTATACCAATGGATTGACCAATCCTTGCAAAGTGTATAACAATTACAGGATAGGCAGCAAGCCAGGACCAGATGAAAAGTATCAAACCAAGTTGTTTACAGCATATCCAATATATGCCAATCAAACTGGACAAAAGTAACAAACCATCTGGGGTACAAAACTAAGGCAAAAATATACTCCTCAGGATTTAGGAAGAAAATCTCCCAAGATAACCAAGGTAACTCATTTCACCACATTCCCACATTTAAATAAATAGCCTTGAGTCCCAGCTGCCTTTTTAAAAACATCTCCAGTTGGGTATATAATCAGCATCTACACAGAACTTTAGTCTAAAGGAAGTTCACGATTCCTACTCTTTCCTCCAGACCTGCCCCTCCCCAACCTTCCCCATGTCATAAATGGTACCACAGCTTATCCAGTTGCTCAGGCCCCACACCAGGAGTGATATTTTATTTCTTTCTTTGCTTCATTGCCCCCACTTTCATCTCCTCCATCAGTAACTTCTATCACTTTCATCTTCAAAATACATCCCAGATCTACCCATTTTCTAATGGCTCAACTGTACTCTAAACCTCTACCATTTTTTATTTAGACAAAGCATTAGCTTCAGAATTGGTCTCTGTTTCTACATATACTACCCCATTGTTGTTGTTATTAGGTGCTGTCAAGTCGGTTCCAACACATAGTGACACTGTATAGGGTTTCTGAGGAGCGGCTGGTTCTGGAGAAAGGGCCTTGTCTCCTTTCAGCATTCAGGCCCAACATTCATTGGAAATGTCCAGGCATCTTGGCATCAATCTTCCCTGAATCTAGGAACTGCACAGTGCAGAGACCCCAGTCCAAAGGAAACACTCCACTCCTGGTCCCCCTTTTTCTGCTCCCTTCTCTCTCCTTTTATCTTTATATGATAAAAGGTGCTTCAGCCCACCCTTAATCCATGTATTGGTTATATCATGTAAGATCACAGCATAGGGAATCATCACATAACTGCCACTGAGAATCACGGCCCAGTAAGTTGACATATATTTTAGAGGGGGCACAATTTAATCTATGACACCCTCATTCTGTTAGATTCAGATTTAAGCTTCTTGCTGTGGATTGCATGACATGGTCTCTCTTGGGTCTCCTTTTCTACTGCTCACTATTCTTCAGTTTCATTGACTTTCTTTCAGATATTTGAACACCAAGCTCATTCCTGCTTCAAAGCCTTTGCCTTTGCTATTTCCTCTATGTGGAAGAATCTTACCCCAGATCTTTGCATGGCTGACTCTTTATCATTCAGGTCTCTGATTAATGCTTCCTTCTCAGAGTGGACTTTCTGATCTTCTTGAGAAGAATCCCATCATTATGGGCTTCTCTGCTTTAATTTCTTCATAGCACATATCTGATATATATTACTTACTTAATGTTTATTTTAGGAACTCTAGTAGCGTAGTGATTAGGAGTTGGGCTGCCAACCTCAAGGTCAGCCGTTTGAAACTACCAGCTGTTCTGCGGCAGAAAGATGAGGCTTTCTGCTCCCGTAAAGATGTACAGTCTTGGAAACCCTGTACAGGGTTGCTCTGAGTCAGAACCGACTCCACAGCACATAACAACAACAACAATGTTTATTTGCTTATTATCTGTCTCCACCATTGGAATGTAAACTATAAAAACAGGAACTTTGTCCTTGCTATCCCCTCCTGAATTTGCAGGCTTTAGATATATGGGTTCAGCACAAAATAAGTGCCCCAAAAGTCGTTGTTGAATGAACAACTGAATCCACGTTTTGATTGAACCCATGTTACCTCTTGATAGCTTTATCTTGCTCCCCAGGACCTAGTCCAGTCACCCCCTCTCCTAAGTCCTCTGTGTTCCTCTCTCCAGATCGCTACAGCTCAGAGCAAGAGTTCGTCAATGACCTGAAGAACATGTGGTTTGGACTTTATTCAAGAGGCAAAGAAGAGGGAGATTCAAGTGGCTTTGAGCATGTCTTCTCAGGTGGGCTCACGCTGCTAAGGAAGTGGAGAGATGAAGAAAAACCACTTCAGCCAGAAGTAGGGCAGCATTGGGTACTGTTAACAGCTAAGCCAGCCGGCAGAGGGGAACACTGCCACTCCCATGCCAGGAGGGAGGGGTTTGAGCAGCCATTCTGAAGACCAGACACTGTACTGGGGCTCCCAGGGATCTTTCTAGGATGGGAGAAGTTTTGGAGGCAAAGTTATCTGCCTCTGAAAAGCCACCATCTCCAGTGCTTGATAAGCAGCTTCCCAAGAGGGCCATTGGTCTTTCTCCCTACTGCCCCAGCCCCCAAAGCTCCCATCAAATCTGGCAGGTTCCAGAAAAATGGCTAAGAGAAATATCCCAGTGTGGTCACCACTGTCAGTCAAGAGGAGAAACCCTCCCAAGGTCTTGAGATGAAAAGGGCATCTTCTTGAGGATGGGAGACACTCTGGGCAGTCAGTCAGAGGTGAGAACCCTACATGTGAAGGACAGGTGGGCATTAGTCAGAGACTTGAAGTCAGAGACTTGAAGAAGGAAGACAGCCTTGGCGTTGGGTAGGGGGGATTAGAGAGTAAATGAAGGGAAGGAAGTTCTGATCATCAATCTTGGACTCTTGGATTCTTATAGGTGAAGTAAAAAAAGGCAAGGTCACTGGCTTCCACAACTGGATCCGCTTCTACATGCAGGAGAAGGAGGGCCTGGTTGACTACTACAGTCACATCTATGATGGACCCGTAAGTGCTGAGCCCTGACCCCTTGGGCTGGAAAAGCATATTGGTGCCCACACTTACTGCCTTCCTTCTGTGTTCTAGTCACGGAAATAACACGTGAGGCTTGTCTCTCACACAACTCTCACCAGCAGCCTAATGGGGATTGTGAATCTGACTTCCCCATCTCTGGAGACAGGGCTTAACCAGCAGAACGTCGGGATTCTCTTCCCCTTAGTGAAGGCTGGAGAAGAGCAGTGGGCAGGAGGCAGGAGACAGCATTTCTGTGTGGGAGGGCAGGGGCAATGGCATGGGAGTGTGGACCCTGCTTAAATTTCCTCAAGGTAGTCAGTTGTCTGGATGCTGCACTTTAACTATTCTGAGTTAAGCTCTGTCTAGTTTATAAAAAAGAAACCTTTGTGGCCTTTTGCCTGGAAATAAGTTGGGAGCAAGGTATGGCCCTTCCTTTCTAAAGGTGAGGCCTCAGGATCGGGATTGGCTGCATGGATGCACACTCTGGCCTTCCTGGTGGATGTGCACTGGGAGCTCCACGCGCAGGGTCCACTGAGTGAGAGGTCAGATACCTTAGCAGGGCAGACCAATGCATCTACTTAAGGAATTCAATCATCCTGGAAAGCCCATGTGGGTTCCCTACAGACCTTCAACAAGCAGTGCCTGACTGCTTTGTTTGAAATCCCATAGTCTGACTCTGTTCTGTGGGACTCACCAGACTCCCTCACCACCCTTATCTCCACAGTGGGACTCCTATCCTGATGTGCTGGCGATGCAATTCAATTGGGATGGCTACTATAAGGAAGTGGGTTCCGCTTTCATTGGCAGCAGCCCAGAGTTTGAGTTTGCGCTCTACTCCCTGTGCTTCATCGCCAGGAGAGGCAAAGTGTGAGTACTGACCAGCGGAGCGTGGACAGCGTGCTGGGGCTGTGGACTGTCCTCCACCATGCATGATTCTGGAAACCTGGATCCTGTCACTAAGTGGTTGTGTAGGATTGGGCAAATAATCACTTTTCTGGGCCTCAGTTTTCTCACTTAGAAAATGAAGTTGTTGGATTTAGATCAGTGAATGCCAAACTTCATTTTAGCAGCAGAACCAACACACCTCCATTTCCCCCTAAGTAATGTCTTCTGCATGGCCCTACTATATAAAACAGATAGAAAATAGGGTTGGGCCTCTGAGGGATCATCCTCAGTTTGGTCCCTGAGGTGACTTGGGGAGCCCTGAAGCTCCAGAGAATGCCGTTTGGGCCGCTTGTCCTGGAGTCCCTTCCAGGTTTAACATTCAGGGTGCCTGGGACCCACTATTTTTCTAACCCTAAGCAGACATTTATTTAATTTGGGGAGGTTAGCTCTAGAATCTGGGGCTTTTGGCGTCTGGAGTACTGCTCTGGGAAAGATACAGAACAATGTTCTTTAAGCAGATAGGAAACAAGCCACAGATTTTGGAAGGACTTAACAAATTCTGCCTATGGGGAGCTGTAGGCAACAGCTGAGGAAGGCTGTGGCAATTCTTTCTTAAATGTTCTTTACAATGAGAGGGACCCCTTCTGCTTGAGTTGGGCTGGCTTAATCCCTTCAGCCTGGGGAGAGGAGCATTGAGAAGTGGAGAGCCCCTATGATTTGGTGATCTTTCCCCACAGCTGCCAGTTAAGCCTGGGCGGCTATCCTCTGGCCATCCGGACCTACACCTGGGACAAGTCCACCTACGGAAATGGCAAGAAGTACATCGCCACAGCCTATGTGGTGTCTTCTACCCATTAGAACTCTGAGCAGAAAGGGACGTGGGGGCAGTGAGGGCTCTCACAGGACTGGAGAGCTATCTGCTCTGGGCTGGAAAAGGCAGGGAGGAAACTGGGTTACTTAGAATGATTCCTCAATCTGGAAATGCTCTTATAGGAAAGAAGGAAAAGATAGAAATTAGAAAATTACAGAAAAGCCATCAAGTATTTGTGCTCCCGCATCAAGGCAACGCAGACTAAGAGTCACAGTGTCGATGAGATGAAGAAGGTGAGAGCCCTCAATAGCTCTTTGCCCTGAAGTGTGGTGGAACCATGAGCAAGTCCTTTAATCTCTCCAGGCCTCATGTTTCCCTTTCATGTGAAGGAAAGAGAACTTCTCCCTTTCCTCTTTCTGAGGTTGGTGAGATATTGTTACTGTGAAGGCGTTTTGAATTGTTCTCAGGAAGAACGGGATGATAGAAATTCAAGATTACTATCATGGCTGTTATTGTACACAGCTCTACAAACTACAATTCACCCCGGCGTTGGGGGCTTCAAAAAAAAAATCAGGCCATGGAAACTAAGCAGTCAGCATTTGATCTTTTTGAGGGTTGGATCTTCTGAGAGCAGGTACTAGGGGAACTCTGATGTGGGACAGAACACAGTAAAGGGCTTTTGTGCTTTTGCGACCAGCTCAGTATCTATATCAAGGTGCTTCCCCCTTGTGGGTGATTTGTGAAGTCACAGAGCTGGATTTTGATTCTGAATAATTTTTCAAAGAGTTCTCCTCACCAGAAGATTCCGCTTCAGAAGAAGAAAGTAACTTAAAGCTTGGTATTATTAACATAATTGTTTTAAGGCTTACCCAACAGCCATACTTTGCTTCTAATGGACTCTAGAATGGGAGCCTGGCTTCTTACTTCAACTTCAATATGCATTTCTCCCCTGACCCCATGGAGAACCAGACGGTGTCCCACAGTTCAGGCAGGCTTGAACAGTCTCCAATTAAAGTCATTTCAGAAAACTTGAAATGTGTCTGTTTTTTTGATTCCTACTCCCTTCAACTGTCAGTGTCTGTGCCTTTTCCCTGGAAGTCTTGAGTAGCCATGGGCGCGGGGTTTGAGGCTTCAGGGTTTCTTCAAGATGGTTTGAAGAATGTGTTACCTTGGTGAAGTCCTTGTAGGCCAAACTTCTCTGACCAAGAGGGAGGCAGAATTCTTCCTGGTGCACTTGTAATGTGAAGGGTAGAGGAAGCAGCCCCCCCCCACCCCAAGAACCAGAACCCCTTAACCTCATAGGCAAGGAGTTTAAAGAGTCTTTTGGATATTGCATCTGTGATCACAGAGCTTGATCAAACTGGGGTAGAAGATGCTCAAGAGATATGTAGGTAGATTTCTCAAATCTGTAAACATATTTTAGGTCTTAGATCACGATTGAAGGGATAGCTCAAGTTGGTTCCATAGCGTAGGTGGATGAAACAGGGCCGTGTCCTGCTCTTCCCAGTGGAGTTCACAGACAAATGAGCATAGGGTTTAAAGATGCCTGACACATGGTTGGATGACGTTGGTGATAGTGGCGTGCCGTGGAATCCGTTCCGACTCATAGCGACCCTGTATAGGGTTCCCAAGGAATGGCTGGTGAGTTTGAACCTCCAATCTTTTGGTCCAAACTGACCTTGCTGTCCAATGCTTGTGCTACAGCGCCATACCAGGGCACCCAGAAAGTAAATATCATGGATAAAAATGTTTGTCGCAAGTGTTTAAGCTAAGCGCTCAGCTACGGATCCAATTGACTGTTCGAACTCATCCAGTAGCTTCCAACAGCCTAGAAAATGGGCGGTCTTATACAAATCAGGCTGCCAACCTCAAGGTCGGCAGTTCGAAATTATCAGCTGTTCTGTGGGAGAAAGATGAGGCTTTTTGCTCCCGTAAAGATTTGCAGCCTCGGAAACCCTGGGCAGGGTCACTATGAGTCAGAACCGACTCCACGGTACTTAACCACAACAATAACATTCTGCTTGTAGTCCAAATCAACTGCACCCAAATGACAGCATGGGAATATTCAAGGTTTTATTATTTTGGAAACCAGAACATATCAGGATGAGCCTACAATTTTTGGGTTATATCCCGTTAAGATGAGTAACTTGGGAAGCTAAGTAAGGAGCCACATTTTTCAATACATCGATCACGTCCCCAAATATGTCCCCTAGGTAAGAATCACGTATCCGATCCTCTGCGCACGCTCGAGCTTATGTTCCGAGGGGCGGAGCGAGAGCACGCAGAGGATCGTGGGAAAGCCTAGGAAAGCGGGGCCCGGAGTGAGTGGCTGCTGGTCGGAACTGGCGCCCGTGCGGTGGATAACGGCCTAGTGAGGTGTGCGGATTTTGCGGTTTTCCGGAGATACCTGAGCCAAGGAGTCCTACGGGGCTGCCTAGGGGGAGGAAGGGGCGCGGCTGTGGGGCCCGAACGAGTTGGAAAACCGAAGGTGGGCGGTGTAGTGGGCGGTGCAGCGGTGTCCAGGGTAGCGGCGTCTGAGAGAGCGCGTTCCCGGGAGGGGCTTGTCCGGCTGCGCGGCCCAGGCCTGCTTTGCAGATGTGGCTGCAAATTGGGCGATTTGGGGTGTTTGGGACGGTATATCGACCCTTCCGAGAAGATCACGGTGAGGTCCCGCCCCCTTTCGGCTTTGGTGTGCCTGGGTCGCCGGGATATTGGTTCCTCCGGAGCAGCAAAGGTGATGGATGAAATGGGGCACGTCTCCCCACCCCTATCCCTAGCATATCTGTGGCCTGTTGCCCTTGTATATATATATATATTTGAGCCACAAGTAAAGAGTTGCAATAACTATGTTTTTGAATGAATTGTAAATATGTGGTTGTAATCGACTCAGACAGCAACACATATGAAACAGATATTCCCAGAAAGAAGCTGAAATGGTGGTTTTCAGCCAAAATCTGCATCTGCATCCATTCCTTGCTCCTTCATTACTGTTTCAATGAGGGTTTTGAGACTGATTATAACCGTTTCTCTTTCTTCCCCTTCTTAGCTACTTAAACTTTGTATCTCCTTCCATCTTGTTGGGAACCTTGTCCCACCTCTCTTTTTTTTTTTCTTACATCTTTTCCACAGCCGGCTCCCTGCCATCCCCCCCAGACTACTTATTAGAAAGCCATTTGTACTGTTAAATACAAATTTAATCCCCATATATTTCTCATTTGCTTATCACTTTTTTTTTTTTTTTAATTAAGGCTCTAAAGGATCTTTATGTGATTATAATGAACTTTTCTTTCCTCTATGCAGCCAGAGTGCTCCTCGGAGCTCAGGGTGGCCAAATTTCACTCTCATACTTAGGACATATTGTCAGGAAGTTGCTGGAGAAGGATAGCATGTTTGGTAAGGTGGAGGGTCAGAGAAAAAGAGCAAGACCCCCAGCCAGATGGATTGGCAAAGTGGCAGCATCAAAGTGGGTTCAAGCGTGGCAACTGTGAAGTTGGCACAGGACTGGGCAGTGTTTCGTTCTGTTGTACATAGGGTGGCTATGAGTTGGTACTGACTAGATGGCACCTAACAACAACAACATATGACCTCTGCTTGCTGTTTGATTCCACTAACCTTAGACTCATTTTCTTTGATCTGTGACAGTCCTCCCTAGATTTTCCTTCTAAATCTAGCTGCATGCAACTCTTGACTTTTTCTGTATTAACACCTCTTCCGCTCTTCTCTAAATCGTATTGTGCTCCAGTGCTTTACCTCCTTCAGTAGTCACCCTGATTGGACATACCCAACTCTGTTTCTAGCTATCCTCTTAAGGCTGCTGACACCCAAATTTGTATTTCCAGCAATATGTTGCTAAATTACTATTGAATGTTCTTTCCCTGTTGTTGTTAGGTGCTGTTGAGTCTGTTCCGACCCATAGCAACCCCCATGTACAACAGTACAAAACACTGCCCGGTCCTACGCCATCCTCACAATGGCTGCTATGCTTAAGCCCATTGCTGCTGCCACTGTGCCAGTTCATCTTGTAGGGGATCTTCCTCTTTTTTGCTGAGCCTCCACTTTACCAAGCATGATGTTCTCTAGGGACTGCTGCCTCCTGATAACATGTCCGAAGTATGAGAGGTTAAGTCGCCACATCTTGGCTTCTAAGGAGCATTCTGACTGGACTGATTCCAAAACAGATTTGTTTGTTCTTCTGGAAGCCCATTGCACTTTCAATATTCTTCTCTAACACCATGACTCACATTCATTCATCCTTCTACAGTCTTCCTTTTTCATTGTCTAACTTTCACATGCAAGTGAGGCTGTGAAATTACCATGGCTTGCGTCAGAGCACCTTTTAGTCTTAAAATTGACATCTTTGCTCTTAAACACTTGAAACAGTGTTTCTGCAGCAGATTTGCCTAGTGCTGTATTCCGTTTAACTCTGCCAAACACCTTGAGGTCTAGTGGATTCCAACTCGACCCTATAGGATTCCAAGGCTGTATATTTTTATGGAAGCAGAGTGCTGCATCTTTCTCTTTCAGAGTGACTCTATTAGCAGTTGATGGCTTTAACCAACTGTGCCACTAGGGCTCCTTATTGCCTCATAACCACTCATATTCAACATGCTCTAAGCGGAAGTAATCCTTCCATTTGTTCTCCAAAAGCCTCGTTTTCTCTTAAAATTGTATTTTTTGACTCAGAATGTCACCACGAATCTGCTAAGTGTCCTACATAAGTTATCTAGGACATTGAGTCTTTATCTGCTACCGTCATGTCTGTTTCATTTTACCACCTTAATACTTCCACATTGCTTTCAGAATATAGGTCAGACTTGATGCGTTGGCATTTCAAGATCAGTCCCATGTCCACATCTTCCACCACACTCCCTCTCAGTACATCACTGTGCCTATTCCTAGTAGTCACCAGTGTGCCTCTTTTAAAATTCAGTTACGTCCATTCTGGGGGTGCCTTCCTTGCATGTAGCCCCCATCTGACTTAGGTCCATCCTTTGTGGTCACTCCCACAACATCAGTTTATACAGGACTTCTGTGCACTGGGGATTCT